GCCAGAGTGGGAAAAACATGCGGAGCTTCTACCTTCCTGTTAGGTATTTGAGAAATTAAAGTCCATTTAGGTCATTCAAATCAAATCAATGGAGTACAAGACTATTTTCCATGCAGTTTGTTACTGCAGGAGGATAATTACATTAGGAAAGACTCTGCTTCCTATCTGCCATTGCTGAAGACATGGCCTAATTATTACAGAGCAGACAATTACCAGTGAGGAATACACAGGAGGGACTTTCACTTTTTATAAGTGTAGAGAAAATCCTGACAAAGACACACGGAAATGAATCAACGCTGCCTCCCCAAGACAGAAAAGAGACTAGTTTTGCAGCAAGAATGTGGTAGAACAGGCTGGTGACAAAGCAAAAGCTGGAAGATGTGAGACCTTGCCCTACCCCACCCAAAATGGGTGGGAGACACTGGACAACCATCCTTTCCAGACCTCAAATTCTTCAATTACCAAATTAGAAACAGGGTCGAAGCAGAGTGCTTTTAAAGCCAATCTCAAAGGTCACACACTGTGTGAGTCAATTTACACAGCATCCTCAAAATGGCAAAACCACAGATCTGAAGACCAGATCAGTGGTTGCCAGGTGTGACTGGGTGGTAGTGAGTGAAAACGGGCAGTGAAGGGAGCTCTGTGGGACGGGGCAGTTCTGCTTCCTGCCAGCAAGCTGCTGACACGAGTCTGCCTGTGTGTAAATGACACCAAGGCATAGGACAGGCACACTCTCACACACATGATATGGAATGTAGTTGTGTGAAAGTGAGCATGGAGAAGTCAGTGGCGGGTACCAGGGACTTTTCTGTGCCAACTTAGCAACTTCCTGTGAATACACAACTTCAAAGCACAAACATTTAGTTTTTTAAGGGTTTGATTTGAAATATTTCATCTACTAAATTAAAATCTTTTACCCATATTTATTCATCAAATATATAGAATGTAGATATAATGGTCTTATTTCCCAACTGATTCAAAAACATAATTTCCAGATGTTTTAAAGATGCAGGTAAAATGAAAGCACACAAGCAATAGGAGACATATATACTATAGATGCTTATTTCTATGACTTTGTGGTATGGGGGAAGTTTTCTAAAGTATGATTTTAAAAAAACAAGAAATTGTATTTTATTTTTTTATTTTCTATTTTAAAGAGAATAACAATTTAAAAAAAGAACAGTAGCAAAATACCAACAACATAGACAAAAACAAAACAAAGCAAAAACAATAAGAATGCCACAGGGTTTCAGAACAAAATGATAGGAATTAACATTGGTTGTTATATTACACATATGAGGACAGCAATGTGCAATATAACAACCATTATTGAATTCCTGTCACCTTGTTTAGTGAAACTCTGTATCATCTATGATTTTTTTATTTTGTTTTTACTTTTTATTCTCTTTAATGGTTAGATCAATCTTGCATTCCTATATCTGTTAATCTGAACAACTTTGGTGATGAAATTTTAAATGCCAGTAAGAGAAAAAAAAAAAAAATCAATGCTAAAAATGAAATTAAAGGATGAATGACAAACAGTGGAAATCAGCATACATGACAAATGCAAAGCCATGATAAAGAACATCAATGGGTAAGACCCCAATCACACACAAAACATACAGCTTCCGTCACGTACAGGGATAATCCAATAGTGACCAAAGAGCTGCAAATTAGAGCAATTTTTAACAATTCCTTCCAGGAACGGTTGGCAAGGATAAAGACCGAGACAACCCCGGGTAAAGAGGATGAAGACGATCTGAGGATGCAGCCAGTGATGATAATGGAGAAATAATTGATGCATGCTCCCTCAGGATGCTCCAAGAACATGTCAATATGTAAAATATTCCCTATTCACTCAGCTCTCACTATACTAAGACTTTGTGTAAGATAATCATGGCACAAGTGCAAAACAAAATAATAATGAAATCAAATGCCTGCTGAAGACCACCTACTTCAGTAGCATTTATTTTACCAGGCATAAAAATGCAAAGCAATCATAAATGTGCATCGACTGGAGAACAGTGATAAATTTGTGGCCTACACATACAATACTGTGTGGCCTATAAAAATGACGATATTTGATTCTTATTGATTGATTTTGGTCAGGACACAACAGCAAAGCAGTCAAAAGCACAGCTCCTGAGCTAGGCTGCCTGGTCCACGACCAACTCCACCACAAACAGTCTGTGTGCTAGAAGCAAACTGTTGAGCCTCTCTGAGCCTCTGTTTCGTCCATAAAATGGGAATGATTCACAATGCCTATACCTCTTCAGGTTGCCAGGACAACTGAAAGAGTCATGAGCGGCAAAACACCAAGGGGAGCCTAAGAAATGCGAGAAAATACCTTGTTAAATTTTAAAAACTGTCATAAAAATGTATCTGCCACAAGGAGTGAGAAAAGACCACAGAAGCACACAATGACCCCATTCAGAATCAGAGGGAGGGATTGCTTTTCTTCAGATAGTGTAACAGATGTCATGACTTGGCAGTGACAGTGTGGGTTATTTTTGCTTTCTTCTTAAGAGTTTTCTGTATCATTATAAATGAAAACAAAAATTATAATAGCCAGTGAGCACCCTGAGGCACTGTTGGAATGTGAGCTAGTGGAAGTTTTCTAGGGAGAACTTGAGCAATATGCCCTATACTTTTTCATCTGTCTCTTGACTTCCAGGAATTTATCCTATGAAAATAATGCAAGTCTACAAATACATGCATACATGCATGTACATGCATGAACACACATGTACACACATATATACATAAAGGAATATTTTCTAAACTGATACTTACAACAGCAAAATTGACAACTGAATTTTCATGAAATGCGCCGTGCTTGGTAGCAACCACACAGCACAAGAAGACCATGACACAGCACCATTTGGCAAGGTCACTGCGGAGAGGGCAAAGGTTTTGTACTTCCCTGTGAAGGCGACCCTGAAGGACTATGATACAGAGGGAGGATCCTGAGGCCAGGCAGACAAGAACATCCACACAACCCATGAACTTCTCAAACTGCCCCAAAGTCAGACTCGGGACTGAGGCTGGGGGAAGCAAAAGCAGGAAAACTTGGTGTTGAAAGACTGGAATTTCTGATGTTTCCCATGGTGTGCGGGAGATGTAGGAAGGGATCAGCAGACAACAGGAGAAATCCCAGAAGGGACAGGAACAACACAGACCCCAAGAGACAGCACCAGGTCAGAGAGCCAGATGCTCAGAAGGAAACCCCAACAAAGCTGTCCTGATGGCCACAGCCAGCCCTGTCATTGAAATATGACCAATACTAGCTAGCTGTGCCAGAAAGACATGGGAGGGAGAGCATATGTGTGAGAGGGAAGATTGAGAGATATATCCCCTAACCCAAGCTCAGTGCAAAGCCATGGAAACCACAGCTTCAGGTTCAGTGAAGCTATGTCTGATCCCCTCCTTTCTGAAACTGCCTTTAGTGGCCAAAAGGATTTTAGGTTGTGAAGCAGGAGACAGAGCCCTCCGAGGTCCTGCACTTCCTGCCTACACCCCCCCACAGCCACGCCTTGGACCCTACCTTGAGACGCTGCCACTGCACTGTGCGCCAGGACCCTGGTCTGTGACCTGTCCTGGCCCAGCAGCACTAACATTTAATGTGATTACCATGAGGTTTCCTAAGAAGGAGCAGCATCTTAAACTCTTGTACAACTTGCACAGATGCTTGCAATGAGCCCCACTGACCAACCTAGATGTCTGATAAATATTAGGAGATCATTCACTCAACAATTTATCCAGTATGTGCTAGGGTTTGGCACACCAAGGGTCTTGCTTCACCACGGGGAGGGATCTATAATAAAGACTTTAAGAACAAGTGTTCCGAGCAGGAAAGTGGGGGTCCAAAGGCCGGCTGCCCTTACTGACTAACGGACCCCAGACACATTACTTAATCGCAGTGTCCAACTTTCTTTAAGCAGGAAGAACAACAAGTGCTACACCCACATGGCTACTCACTGGGACAGCAAGCACTGTTCTAAAGCGCTTCACAAGCCCTATCTCACTCAATGCTCAAAGCAACCCTATGAACAAGTACTGCTTCGAGTCCCACATTATAATGAGAAACTGAGGCAGGAGGAAGTTAGTAAGTGTGGAACAGATTCTAACCCCAGATTCTGGAGTCTGGGCTCTGGATCACAAGATCCCTTCACACAGCACACCAAGCACAGTGCGGATCACTGGGAACTTTCTCAGCACAGCTGGTGTCTGAATTCTTGAAAATGAGCAGCGCCAAACAGCAGCAATGTAACTGCCTCAGAGCCTTTGCCCTCCACTGCAGCTTCGTGATGCCGCTGTTCCCAAAAGGGCTGTCTGCAGATGAGCTGTGAAAGCAACGGTGTCATGCCCTCTCTCATTTCCTCTCTCTTCTCACCTCCTTGAGAAGCTGCTTCAGAACTGAACCCTCACCAGGAACTCATCAGAGAATGCACTGGAATCCTTTATTTTATTTCAGAGCAGTCTCCAAAATCTATTTCTCAGCCACCAGTGGTCATCACAGTCCTTCCCTGGGCACTGTGCATATCCTAATAGGAGTGCACTGCTCACGGGGCCCTGACCAACCATGTGGACATCCTCCCGTCAATCCAGATGCCACTCAAACTGTGGCACAGGTTCACTGACTTCTGCTAAGAACACTTTCTTCTGATGACAATTTGCTGTCCTTCAACATTCTGCATTTTACAACTCCATCTTCTCTCCCGGAACATAAGCCACCCAGGCAGAGACTGGGTTTTCTTGTCTCTGCAGCCCCAGAGCACCTATCAAAGCAGCCATGGCCCTGCACACTGGGTGGCTTCGGCCACCAAGTGAAAGGTTATACATGGGAACAGCCAGTAATCACTATGAAAATACTGTTCTCCAGGTGGAGGAGACCTGTAGAAATACACTATTTCCAACCGCCAACCAAACCGAAAAAGAGGTCTTAGCAGTCACAACTGTTCACAGGAAGCCGACACAGTCAGCCCTTGGGCAGCACTTACCTGCCTCTCCTTCCTCCTCACCCAGATTGAGCACGATGATGCAGATGTGCTTCCGCAGCTGGCGCGTGTTGGAGAACCTGCGGCAGCACTTGCTGCACTCCAGGCTGCTGGGTGCCAGGCCACTGCCTTCTTCCGGGGCCAGCTGACCATCCTCGTTCGGGCTCGCGATGTTTTCTGACAAATCCTCTTCTGCACTGGGCTTTTTTGTGGATCCCTTAGGTCTGCCTCTCTTCCTTTTCATGACCAGAAATTCTGTAAGGAAAACAAGAGGGAAAGATGGAGTCAAACACAGTGGCAGGGAGAGGATGCACTCACCTTCCAAATGCGAGAAAATGTGCAGGTTTCAGACTTTATCAAAAATTAAAGGTCTCAAGTCCCACTTAACCCAGCTATTCTCTTTCTGGGTATTTTCCCAAAAGAATTAAAGACATCATACGACAGTGATATATGGGCACTCATGTTTATAACAGCACAATTTGTTATAGCTAAATCTTGGAAACAACCCAAATGCCCATCCACTGAGGAATGGATAAAAAAGATGTGGTACTGTTATATAATGGAGTATTACGCAGCTATAAAAAAGATAAACTCAAGGCTTTTGTAGGTAAATGGATGCAACTAGAGACCATACTCATAAGTGAAATAAATCGGACCCACATGTGTAAACATCATATTGTCTCCCTGGTATAAGAACCTGAAAGAGTAAGTAAAATTCAAAATATATAACAGATGATATGAAAGGGAAAGAAATTGCTCAAAGGAAGGAACAACTGAGATGAGGGAAAGAAGAAAAAAGAAAGAAGGAAGGCAAAATATAGCTGGGATAACTGTACTGTTGATGTCTGATGGTATATTGAAAGGAACAGTGAATGCTTAAAATTTTTTATGTTCTGATCAATTTTGCATGCTTATATCTGGTAATCTGCGCAACTGATTTGAAGACTATATGTCTAGTGAAACTCTATTGTCTCTAATGTTTTATCTAATAATTATTTTTTATTCTCTTTAATGGTTTGAACAATCTTCCATTTTTACATCTGGTAATCTGAGCAACATAGTTGAAGATAACAATATGCAATATAACAACCACTGTTAATTCATACTATTTTGTTTTGAAACCCTGTATCACTTTCAATGCTCTTGCTTTGTTTTATGTTTGCGATGTTGATGTGCTGCTATTGTTTTTCTTTCATTCTTTTACTACTCTCTTTAAAATTAAAAAAAATATAAAAGAATTAAACGTCTGAAGCAGTTCCAGCAGTTACCAGCTACAAACACCATTTTCTATGCTAAATTGCATCTATATATTAACTGGTAATTGATTTGGTTGTATTCTGAGGCAGCTGATCAAAACCTTTGCACAGGCTCCTTCTGTGAAGCAGGGAGGATTTTAAGTTATGGCCATCGGCCACCAGTCCACATGTCCTCCCCTCATTTACCATCATTTCCATCTAAGGCCAGTTCTCACAAACAGCTTCTGGACTTATTTGCACAGGGTTCTCAGAGGCTCTGAGACTGTCATTCTCTTAATGAGTTATACGACTATTCAGATTATTTCAAGAAGTCAAACTGTCCTAGTAAGAAAGAGAAAAATAATTGCAATCTAAAGCTACAAATTATAGGGTAAAAGACAATAACGATATTTTTCAGGTTTTTTAGCAACCTGGTGATTTTAAATGGAATCATCAAAGCTGCTTTCGAACAAGTTCTGTATCACTTCACAAAATGCATTTCTTCTTAGAGTTCATCTTTAATAAGGCATTCACCTTTAAATGAAGGTGGGAATAAGGAGAGGTGAGTGGGGTCAGGGGGCAGACCAATATGTGCAGTTATGCAAAAGTAGAAAGTGTGATTCCAGGAGATGTGACTTCCCTGAGAGGGGCCTCTCAGAGAAGAGAAGCAGGTGTGACATCCCAAACACTGGAATTGCCTGCCAGGCCGAGGCATAGAATATGTGCATCCCTCTTTCAATCTGAACAGTGGAGTAAAGGGAAAAGTCCTGGATCCTGGCACCATTTTGAAGAATGTTCACCACAAAATGAGGACAACTGTTAGGGACCTTCTGCCTCTCTCTTTGGTATGGCTTGGTACAATGAAACACAGCCACTTTACTCACTGATAGCACACCAGTGATCCTTTAGTTAAGAGAGCGTCCCATGCTACCAGTCAAGAAGCCACAGGGGCCAAGTCAGCTGAGTCAGCCAAGTCAGCAGCAAGACTGTGAGTGCTGCGCATAAGGGAGCCTGCCTGGGGATAGGGACCTGGAGAATGGTGGGAGAGGCACCAGAACAAGGCAGTGATTTCCTGGGAAGGGGACACCCTTGCAGGACCAGTGCTTTTGTACAACTGGGATACCCAGGATGGGTCAGCACTGGCTAAGGATTCAAATCAAAGCCTTCTTCAGCCAGGGCAGCCAACACAGAGCATTCAGGCCATCTCACTGGGACATGCTAGGTAGGGGGAAAAAAAGGAAGGGAGGGTGCTTTAAAAGAATGGGAAGTACACCAAGAGACCAGATAAAACAGGAGACTCAAACCTATCCTAACCCTTTACAAGCATGGACTTCACCAAGCAGTACAAAGCCTGTCTTTCTGGGAGGATCAGCCCCTGTGCATGGGGACAGGAGGGAAAATGTCCTAACAGAATACAGACAAACCATTTACCTCTAAACTCATTAAAACTTTTCCTACTAATACTCTTTACAACAATATGTAGAACGTAGTGAAGCAGCAGTTAATATCAGAGCAACAGAACTAGCAGGCCATGAAACACCCACTTCATGTCATGTCAGCCTAGCTGTACAAACATGATGAACAACAGTTTGCTGAAGCTGGGGCCCAGCTCTAGCCGCCAGTGACAAATGCTGGCATTCTGCCACATAGATGGAGGTCACTACTCTGAAAAGCTTACAGAATGCAGCTGTGCAATCAAGAATCAACCTCACCCCAAGAGAGGTCTGCCCTTCCCCTGGATGATGGAAAGGTGATCTCTAGACCCCTGGATGTCCCCCCTGACAGGAGTACCTGTGTTTGCCAGTGGGTTTGGGGCCCTGGATGACTTATGATCTGGGTTTTGGAACATGGCACATGAGCTCCACCCTCTAGAAGAACTGGAAAACAGAAAGTGTAGGCAGAACCTCCAAGAGGGTTAGAAACTATGCCACACAGGCAGTGTGTCATGGAGCCCCTACAAAAACTGCACAGCCATGACTTGAGTGAGATTTCTGGCTGGATATACTCTTGATGTTGTCATACACTGAAGACAGGAGGGAGTGATGATATCTAGGACTTACGGGAGGGAGGAAGGACAGAAAGCTCCACTGAGACCCTTCCAAGTCCTGGTTCATAATTTTTCAGTGTAGAACTTTCCTAAGTTTGGTGAGTTCTTCTAGAAAATTACTGAGCCTGAAGGAGACCACGGGGATCTCCAAATCTGTAGCTAGCTGGTCAGAGAGGGTGACCTCTGGGGGCCTTGAATTTGTGGCTGGTGTCAGAAGTGTTGGGTAGACTTGGCAGTCTTGTGGAGAACTGTGCCCCTAACCCAGAGTTTGGCAAACTCAACATGGCAGTGCACCATGTTTTCCCACAGAGACAGACCACAGCACACGGTCAGCAACAGCAGTGCCTACTGTGCGTGAGACAGCATGCTATCCACACGGTGGGAGCTGGCACAGAATCCACATGGCTGACTAGAATGAGTCTCTCTTCCCAAAGTGGAAACTCCCGGGGTTCTTGACCTGACTAGGTTTCATCCCTCTCCGCACTAAGCTCGGGCCCGGGCCCAGTGAACCCAGGTAATTAAACTGACAAGCAGCGGGCAATCTGGTTGTCACAGGAAGAAACATGAAATCAGCCCTGAAAGCTTTGGAAAAGCCTCAAACACAACAGTGACAAAACTAATCTTCCATATTGCTACATCCATAATTCAGATCCTCAAGACCAATTAGTTAGCTAAAAATGAAATATTCATAAATGAAGTCGGAATAACTTAAGCACTGAACATGAGTTGCTGCTGTCAACTACCCACACGTTACAAAAAAGCTGAGAATCTTGAAACAAGGCAAGGAAAAGCACAGCCTCTCTATCAAACACCTGAAGGGACATGCATTCCTCTTCCTCCTCCCACGTCCCTGTACTCTATCTGTCACTGGGCTCAGGGACGCTGTCTTACAAAGTGTCTGTGCAGTAATTCCCCTGTCCATTCTCAGGCAACTCTGCACCCCATGCCGAACAGTCTCCAGGCTCCAGCTTTCTGTTCTGGGGTCTCCCTACTTCCAGCCTATATCGCACCATCATTCCCTGGCTCTAGAACCTTCCATTGTTCTGGATGACTTTGTTCCACAGCTCTCAGATCTGGCTTTCATTGTCCTTTAGCACACAGTCCACACACTCCTACACATACACACACACACACACACACCCCTCTTGTCTCCCACTCCACTACACACACACCTTCCCCTCTTGTCTCCCACTCCACTGCTGGCTGCAGTCTCTAGGCCTTCCTACACACGTGTGGATAATCCCTATCTCTTTTTACTTACCTGTTCTGCTCCCCCTGCATGTGCCTGCCTCCTGCACTCCCAGCCGCAATGCACATGCTGACATCTCAGATCCAGTTCAAACCTCAGCACCTCCTCCACAAGGCTGCCCCAGCTAGTGAGACAGGACAGGCCATCTGCTCGCTTGACCTAGGTTACAGGGTGGAAAGTCATTTCTCGGGTTCCAATTTCACGCATCTTAATCCCTCTCTAAAGCTAAAGTTTGGGGACAACTTCCTCTTAGTCAGAAAATCACCCTTGCAGATCCAAGGCCAAAAACTTGCCAGAGAAAGAAAGAATTAGGTAAAGGTTCTTAAGTTCAATCAAAAGACAATCCAAGCATTATGAAACAATAGCCCAACATAATAATAATTTTTAAAAAATCTAATAACGCAAGCCCTTTATTTTTGCTTCAATCAAGTTTCCAGGACACTTTCCCAACTATTATCTCATTTTTTCCTTACAAAAACCTCACAAGATGAGTTCAGCAAACATAATTTCCTCAAAAGGAAAGGAAAGAAGAGCCCCAAGTGTCCAAGTGGCTTGGCAGACTTTTCACAACCGACTGCTGAACAAGCAGAACTGGGACTTGGGTTTTCTTATTCCCAATCAAAGACCTTTCGCTGAATCATATGCCTCAGGTATTTGTAACAAAGGTCAGTTTCACCCAATTTAATGGAGCGAATATGAGGCGTGTGGAGGACACTGACTTGCA